ACACACACACACACACACACACACACACACACACACACACACGCGCACACACGCGCACACGGGCCACGCGCGCACACACAGACTGCAGCTGGCCACGTCCCGGTCACACGCTTCTTTCCCCTGCCTTGGACTGAACGTGGGAGATGAGGTGCTCCCGAGCTTCCCACACTGCAGTGTTAATGACACTGAGGCCGCCCGCACAAAGGAAGTGTGCCCTATTCAACAGAGATATTGAGTGAACCACCTCCCCCCGCCCTCACCCATGCACACTCCCCTCTCACACACACACACACACATAGAGAGGACCATGGGCTTGTCAACAAGGCTTCCAGGCACACCATCTGGACTCATGGTAGCTATTGTCAGTTTGGGAGATGCTCACCGTGTGAACTGGCGACTGAAATACAGACTGAGACGCACACGCTCTGCGCGCGGGTGTGTGTGTGTGTGTGTGTGTGTGTGTGTGTGTGTGTGTGTGTTCAACATGTATGTCTGGCGATATTTTGTTGTATTTTTCCTGACGGCTCGAGGTGACAAAAAGTCACAGCAATATTTTAAGCTTCTGTTATGTTGCGGGTCAAACTGACCCGTTATAATCATGCTGTTGTGTCTTTTTCTTGCCAATGAGGGTCATTGCGAGCCCCTTCGTGTTTAATGGTCCAAAAATGATCTGAAATAATTCGCATGTTCTGTATTTTGACTGAAAGAAAGTGGAAAAATAAGGCCTAGAGTACGTTTAATGCAAAATGTTCACTTTTTTTTTTTTTTAACATTTTGAGGGGACCAAAAGAAAAAAAGGTTCAATTCAACAAACAAGAGTCCAGTTGCTTTGATTTAACCTTTGCAGATGACCATGACTTAGGTAAGGGAGAATTTACACAGACAAAAAGGAAAAACACATTTTAGCAAGCACTATTCTATTTTTAAATTGATTTTGTGACTGAGGGGAATTACGCAATTAGGTTCACCAAACGAGCACTTTTTCTTTTATTGTTAAATTGAAAAAAAAAAATGTTTAGAAAAATATGGATGAAATTTCTTCTCTTATTCTTTTTATATATATATACAGCGAGAGAGAGAGAGAGAGAGAGAGAGAGAGAGAGAGCGAGAGAGAGAGAGAGAGAGAGAGAGAGAGAGAGAGAAGGGGTGCACTAAATTTTGACTATATGACTGATTTTTGATTTTTTTGTCTTTTTTTTTTTTTTGAAAATTAAATGTATAATTTTGAGCATATCTAGTGTTCCAAAGGTACCAACATAATAGCAGAGCAAATAGGCTGATCTTTCCGGGGTGGTGAAGTTCCATAACTGGACACTTTATTAAGTACAGCCACGCCATCAAATTGGAGGGCCCTATTAAAAAAAGTTTGCCGCTACGTCGGCTTTTGATTGATTCGTATTTTGGTCAAGTGGTCTATTTTGACATCGTGGGGAAGACACTTGCGTCTGCATTCCCAACCGCACATCAGCAAAGGGTGACAAGGGGCCAGTAAGGCAGGCTGGGTTGAGGGGGTGGCTTCGCACCTGTTTGCTTGGATTGAAGCCTTTGTATGTGATGAATTCAACTAATTTATTCCCATGTTGCATTGTCGTGACGCTACTTTGTGATTGGCCGAACACCGTGAGAACCGGGGCCGCATTAAATCGACGGCAGAGGCTATAAAAAAGGGACCTCGGTGCGGCTGTCATGGCAAATCTTCTCCAAGCCGACACCAGCCTGGACAACAACGTGGACGCCGGCATGATTGAGCAACACACAACGTAAGCGTCGACGCGTTTAAGTCTGTTTTTGTTAAAGTCATATTTGTTCCACAAAATTGCATTATTTTTTTCCCCTCAACAATCCATTCTGTTCATTTCGTCGCGTTTCAACTGGGTGCACTGCTTCCAGTACGAGTATGTGGAAGTTAGATTTTTTTTTTCGATCCAATCAGATTTGAGACCCGATGTGTTGCCATGTGAATGTAATCTGCCCATGGCCTTCAAAAATCAGAAGCGCTTGAAATGTAGCTTCAAGCATACTACAAATGGGACTGTTTCATCTGTTTCCTTCATCAGACTTCACATTCACCTGAGGAGTGCTGCAGTTTTCCATTTTCTGATTGGTTGGACCGAAACAAGCTCAGTTTGACTCGCAAATGAAATAAATATACGAAATAAGCACCATCAAATGCCTGGCCTGCCCCTGACTGATTGTGACGGTTTGTCATGGATGAGAAAGAGAGCAGGAGTTTTTCCCAACTCAAACTGGGGCAGATGAGTTAGGGTCTGTTTCATGTTTTACAGTTTTAGGGGCAACTTCAATCCTGTTTCGGATATTGCTCCAACCAGATGGCCAGAAGGACAGAAGTTGCAAAATGACAGCCAACCGGCGCAATGCTTTTCGCGTGACAAACGAGTTCATGTTGTCAGAAGTTTTAAGAGATGATGCGGGAGGCCTCAAATTGCGATTACTGGGCTTTTGGGTGAAATATCTGGATGAATGTAAAACACACTGTAACCTTTGCCAGTGAACGTAATTTGACCTCGGCTGAACTTTTAAACTCCAAATTTTCAGTGCTTCTGTAGTTTTTGTCCAACTTGTTCCAACAAGGAGCTGAAGGACAAATTTAGGTGTTTGATACATAATCAACCAATTGAATTTCCTGGTTCAAATAGAATTTGGATGTGATATGGAGCATTGACATGGAAGGCCCCGGGTTATTCCACGAAATTTACTTATCCAATTTGTCCACCCCCATCCGCATCCTCAGTCTGTGCAAGGTGATGCTGATGGAGAGGAAGTGCACAGACAAAGCAGCGAGGATGCACTCGGCCCTGCAGAGGCAACTCAGCGCGGGCGTGTCCGGCTCAGGCTCGGATGCGTGGGACAAGACGGTGTCCTTCTTCGCGGTGAAGAAAGCCCTCATCTTCCACAACGGCTACACCAAATTGTCCAGGGAGGCCCTGCGCGCGTTCCCCTCGCCCGCCGATGACGTCAACCCGCTGTGCTGTCAGTGACCAATGGGACTCTTCAACATCGGGTTTCGTTACAAGCTGCACAAATGTAGCTTTTTTTTTTTTTTTTTTAATTCAACGTTTGTCATTTGGATGTTTACCTCCAAAATGATTGAATGGTCCAAAAGTGGGCCTTGTTTGTTTGTTATACACCAAAAGCCTTAATATTCCTTGAAAGTGCTCTCAAAAAGACCACATTGTCGAGGTTTGCTGTGAGGAAAAAGCCATATTCCTTTGTAAAAAGGACATTTGTTCATGCTGATGCATATTATTTTGTTTGTTGTTTTGTATTGTCCTCCTGTTATGTTTCTTGAAATGACCATGATATTTGAAATAAATATAGTGGTAGGGACTCGAAAGAGTTGAGCACGGTGACTCCGATGCTAGTTGTTTGACCTTCAATGGCGGAGGTGGTCAACATTTTTTGACCTAAGGTCTACTTTTTGATCAACCAACCTAGCGTGACCGACCCGTTACAGGACACGCACGCACCGAACACTGATCCACAGTGAGCAACAGCTTTTGAAAATGAGGTTGTGAAAATGAAATCACTGCCTACCTTCGTCGAGACCTGACGCGGAGCCATGGGACGCACTTTTGCAGCCGATTCACAATCGTAACTCACGTGTACCGAATGAAAAAAAAAATCCCTCAGCCCTCCAGATTCCCATTCTTTGCCCTCGGTGAATTGTACATTAAACAAACTCTGAATAGGAAAAATAAATATGTCGCAACAGCTCTGATGACAAGCTGCAATTGCAGACTGTTGACCGCTAACAACTTCCGGTGATGCAGGTCACGCGGCAACCTAGATTAAAGGTGACCTGCTTTTTTTATTTACTTTTTTAAAATACTTTTTCTGAACGTGATACGGCTAGGATGCTAAGGGTGCAGCGTGCACACACACAAAAATATATCGTTGATAATACGCTCACCGACAAATGTTTTGGGTTGTTGCTTTTTCGCCTCCACATCCCTCGCAATCGACTTGGGACCAGTCCGCGAGCTACCTGTGGATGGCGATTGACGGATTGGGCACCGCTGCTCGATGGCGTTTTGTATTGTTTGCCAAACCGCTGCTTGTTGTGAGTGTTCCCATCCATCCATTGTCCGATCCACTTTTATCCTCACAAGGGTTCCGAGCGTGCTTGAGCCTATCCCAGCTGTCTCCGGGCAGTGGGCAGGGGACACCCTAACTGTCACGCCAAAGTTAAGAGTTGACAAAGAAAGGCAAACAAGTCGTCCTAACCATATATCAACTTTATTAATCATAGGGCTAATTCAAAAAGCAGACATTCAGCAACATTTGAACAACTGTAGCAGCGGGCGAATGAACAATAAAGTGAGTCAAGTCCACACCATGCATTCAGCTGGCAAACGCCACTACTTTTACTCAAGATTGGTGACCGTAAAACTTGGCTGCATCTTGCTGACCACAAAGAGCAGCTCTCTGGCCACTATTTTTTTGTGTGTGTGTGTGTGTGTGTGGGGGGGGGAATAACTTTAATTGGAGCACTCATTAAAAAAAAAATCCAATGCAAAAACCCTTGAAGTGAAAACAAACCCCCCAAAATTTGTTTCGGGATATAAACGTACATCTGCTTTATTATGTATTGCAACAGGAGACCTAAAATATCACTGCAACGGATGAACTCTTGACAAAAGGTTAACGTGACCAAGGCATCGTGTCAAGGATGAAAATAAAACTGACGCGTCAATACTTCTTCTTCTTGCTGTTGCTTGCCAAATTGATAAAACAAACCTTGCTCATACACACTAAACAAAAATGGCGTCTTTCACTCAAATTCCAGTTAGAACCATACACGACGACCAAAGGAGGACAAGTTAGATCACAAGCATGTGAAGCATTCTCCGCCATTTTAAAACACGCTGACCAAAACCTTAAATAGGAAAACGAAAAGCAAAACAAGATAAAATCGAATGCCGCTCTCATGGTGTCGTGGGACCCATCTCCAACCGCCGGGATATTGCAGCGCCTCGTCATCTGCATTTGCTTTGTGTGGAATTAGTTGTGTGCTCAACACGCGATAGTGTATTAGAAGATTTCACATCGATTCCGCTTAAGGTTCGATTGAAGATGTCACTGGGTGGGCGGGGACGAGGGGCAAAGCAATGGCGGATACACTGTGCACAAAGAGGACATGTGTTTATTTGGTGGATGTCCCAAATGGAGTTGTGATGCAGTTTGATTTGGGAATTGGTGCGCGGGTGGATCACGCTACCCGTCAGGGCAAAGAGTTCAACAAATCCTGCAGGAAGAGATCTGGATCTGGGATTTCGGAGAGGAGACCTGAAACATGTCAACACATAGGAACTATGTCATTTTTTTTTTAACCATTTCTTTTCCCATAAAGGAAGCAATTGTCATGTTTTAAGATGAGTGGTTCTCAAACATCGTACACCAAGTACTCCCTTAAAAACCTCCAAATACTATACCACCTCAATGGCCCGAAAATACAAGGCAGTCGCATAGTAGGCCGATGGTAAGTCCTCAATGAAAATGTGGCAGAGGTTTTATTCGCAAGGAAGATGCCGGAACTTGACACACAATGTGAATTGCACATTTGTGAAAAAGTGCACCTATTTATTTATTTTTAAACAAACAGTTCTAAATGATTACATGAAAATATATTGTACTTAAGGTTAATACAACTTAAATAAAAAAGTGTAACCGAAAGAACAAGGTGCACAGTTTGAACACTTCAATCAGTTATTCTTGGCGTACCACTAGGGTCAGCCCATGTACCACTGTACTTTGAGAATCACTTGACATATCTTGCTCAAATGATGTCAATTGTAATTCTGTGGAAAAACAAATTTGGTTTACCTTTTGAAAGTGTGTTGAGTGGTTCTAAAATAAAATATATTTTGTTGAAATTTTGGTAAATCTATTCGACATGAGGCCTTTTTCCATTTGGTTTTCCCTTGAACATGTCGTTATTAATATTCCAAATGACTCCAAATATTTGGTGCCAATTCAAATGAGGTTGTTACGTCATTCTACTTTAATAATCAGCTCTCTCTGTTGTCTGTGTGCTTGTGTGTAATACTGACCTACAACATCAAAGAACTCTGCCAAGGATTCGGCGGGCATGAGTTCATCCTGGAAAGCCCTGAGCACGCGCTCCGAGGCCTCGTAGATGGGCATGTCGTTGTGACGCACGTATTCGGCAAGCGAGAAGGACCAGCCGCCCTCCGTGTTGCTGGTGGGAACTTTCTGCAGGGCCAAAAGGCGGAGAAAAGGCATTTGCATTCATTTCAATTAGGAAAGTTGATTTGAGAAATTAACCATTTGAGCTACAAGCCTGGTCCTGGAACAAAATCAACTCTAAGTTTTTGGACATTACCCTGAACATGTCGTAGACAAGATCCACCAGGCCCCAGAAGAGAAGGGGCGAGCGATAGACTGCATATTCCTTTGGTACTTTATCTGTCAGTCTGAGGAAGGGAAGGAAGGATAGTCAAGACGATGGGGAGCTCATTTCATCTCACAAGTGCTTCAAAAAAAACTAACAAAAAATAACCGCTACACATATGCGATCACAATCGGCCCATACTTGTTGGCGCTGCTCGCCGAAACCTTGCGGGCGTGTGCGTTGACCAAGAGTCTCCGGAGGAAGTAAATCCGCGAGGTCTTCCAGCGTTCGGGCGGCATGATGTGCATGGCCAGGACGGTGTAGTAGTGCGGCCCTTCGACCTCGTACGAGCTCTCCACCCATTTCTCACACGGCTGCTCCTGGAAACCTTGCAGGTTCTTCTCCTCTCGGGAAGTAGCCCGTGTCCTGCAGGGTTAGGAAAGGGATGCCAATATATTGGATGAGCAGCAGCCTTTGGTGTAAAAGTTTCGTCCATGTCTTATAGAGAAACTTGAAATGGTGCTCAATCGATAGATACGTTTGAGCATGCCTGCGTCCAATAATAACAATGCGTTTCGTGGATGTGTTAAATACAGAAATGGCACACGTAATTGATACTACACCTTTTAATAACGTATGGTCGTGAAAATACGGTATAACCTGCACAGCTTTGGGTATTTTTGGAGTAGAATTTCTTTTAACCTCTGCAACCTTTCGTCTTTTCAAGAACTGTAGTTTTACTTTTTCTTGTGCAACTTTTGGGAATGTTAACAGTAGTTTCATTGTAATATACACAATTTTTGGGTAGTCTTCTTTTACCATGGGGATTTTTTTACAGAAGTACATATACAATTTTTTTAACCTCAGACCCCACCCCCCCCCCACCCACTTTCAGAGTACTATAGTTTACATTTTTGGTTGAAATTTAACCTGCACTACATCTGGTGGTTACACCGTTTTTATTTGACCTAGAAAATTACCCAAATTGTGTATGTTGAACAGAAAATAAGGGGAATTTTCAAACAGCTAGCTTGAGCCTGCTAACACAAACGCAGCACATTTGCAGCCTTGGTCACGTCTCACTGTAAAATCCAAGACTACCATTTCATGAGCTGTGACGGCCAGGATGGCAAAGTGTAGAACTTGATCTTCTCTCGCGGTACATACGTGTTGAGCACATAGAGCACAGTGTGGATGATGTAGGGGATGAGATGGATGTTGCTCTCTCGGCCGCCTCCTCCGGTGTCCACGCTGAATGATTGTTCGGTAGCAAAGCGAAGGAACAGCAGTTTGGTGTCGTGGATGTTGAGTTGGTACGTGGGCTCGCGTTGGCCTGTGCATTCCTGCAGATATGTATTGTGCCTGTGTAGCACAAGGGGATGAAAAAAAAAAAAGAGATAAAATCAGCCTTCAATGCTGTAATTTCCAATTACATTTGGCATATTTTTACGGCGGTAGAAGCTCAAAAACGACAAATTGAGATATTGGAACCAGTAATGTGAGAGATGGCAAACATGCTTTCTCACCAGGCATTAGAAATATACCCATCTCGGGAGGACATTTTAAGCCGTTCATATGCTAATGTATGTTTTTACCGTGCTAAGCATGTAGCAAACGCAGATTCTGGCACGTGTGGCCCCCAAACCGGGAGCAGTCCATTGCACTTGGTGTTGGCGTTCTGGAGAGCGGCGCTTTCCCATTCTTCTCGCCCACGGGCCAGCCTGCAATGGAGATTGCAGAAATTAAGAATTTAAAAAAAAAAAAAAAAATGAATGGAGATTGCAGAAATTAAGAATTAAAAAAAAAAAAAAAAAAAAAATACTACCTAAACCGAGAATTTCTTTTTGAAAAAGCAAAAATAATGCTACCTGACGGCTGCCAGATGGCAGTCGTAGTGGACAATGTTAAAGTGCGACACAGTGCTGTAGCCCTGCTGCTTGCGAGGCTTGTTCTCAAATTCCTCTAGTGATACCCGCTTTGTGAAAGTGTAAATACCCAGGACCTTGGTGGGCTGGAATCAAAATCGTGTCTGTTACGTTGTTGTACCTCAGAGAAACATCAATAACGATGTGCGCCTTGCTGTACCTGGAATTTGTAACCTTCTCTACAGATGCAGCAAGTCAAGCCTGGCTCCTCTATCAGCTCCTCCATTTGTTTCAATAGTGAAGTCTTGGTCACCACCTGACCCTTCTCATTGGTCTGAAAGGCAAATGCACACATGCATTAGTCAAATTTGCTGGTGACATCAGTGTAAAAAAACAAAGTCACATGAAAAAGAATGTGTACCGTCATGCCCAGTGTTCCGAGAGCCTTCTGTCTCATCGCCATGGCCATACGCTTCTTCTCAGCTCTGGTCTCCCTGCGCGCCGCTTCTATCTTCAGATTCACGTCACTGTGCTCCCTCAATGCTTCCAGAAGGTTCTCTGCAAGCGTACCAATCCCTTCGTCGCTGGAGACCTGCTCCAGCTTGTGCAGGTTGGTAATTGAATCAGTGCCTATCAGCACCTGGACAGAACAAAAATCAAATGTTTTTCTTTATCTTTTTCCAATTCATGGCCTTAATCCTGATTTGATTATTAAATGGTATTTAGTGTAATATGCGACATTTCATTAGAGCATTTATTACCTGCGTGGGGGGATGCTGGGTAGCCAAACCACGGAGCAATCTTAGAATGAAGGGTAGTGCAGGTCGAGAGAGGAACTTCTTCCAGATGTCAGCATCCAGACTGACAAGAGAAAAACATGAAACTTTAGTCAGTGGGGCCAATTTTTTTATGTCCTTATCAAATGCGCGGAAGAATAACGAGGGCCATACTTTTTGGCATTTGGGATGTGTTTCTTCATGTAGTCCAGCGCATTTTGTGTAATTCCTTTTTGCAGAATAAGATCTTTTAGCTGATGGCCATTACTGTTATTTTTTATTCCAGCAGCGATTTTACAGAAGCAATCCAGAAACACTTTGTCATCAGCGCTATGATCCTCGTCATACCTGAAAGGGGGGAAAAAAAAAAAAAAAAAAGATTCAATGCAGTATGTGGAGAAACACAGGAAGCAAAGCAGTAAGTCATTGAGAGTACAGGTCAGCACGATTGGTAGCACCACAGTGGTACCCACTTGTCAAAGCTGCAGCATGGCTTGAAGCGCTCGACCAAGATCCTCATCTTCTCCAGTTCGCCAAACGACAAGTACGGGATGATGCGAAGCAGACCCTGCAGGACGCTGGGGTTGGAGCGCACAAATGGAGTGTTGATCTGGTCCAGTAACATGACAAGTTGGTCCTTGTCACCAGTCAGCAACAAGTTACCCTAAAAAAAACAATGACACTGATTAGAATTTTTTTGACCAAGATCCTCATCTTCTCCAGTTCGCCAAACGACAAGTACGGGATGATGCGAAGCAGACCCTGCAGGACGCTGGGGTTGGAGCGCACAAATGGAGTGTTGATCTGGTCCAGTAACATGACAAGTTGGTCCTTGTCACCAGTCAGCAACAAGTTACCCTAAAAAAAACAATGACACTGATTAGAATTTTTTTTTTTTGTTATTAAACTTTTTATTGAATTTTTTAACCAGTTATAAAAAAGAAAAACATGGTCACGTGTTCAGATACACAGAACCACATCAGTTCCGGGCATCAAAATAGTACATACATCACATAGACTTCCCGGTGAAACGGATCACAGTTACTGCCCTCCCGCGTATACAATGTCCTGAACACTGTGCCATACAAGTAAAAAAAATAATGAAATAAAATAAAATAAAATAATAATAAACAAAAATAAACTAAGACTTGCTTAAACAAAGGGAATCTAACCCGGCAACATTTTATAGCATAGTTCAGTCTCCCATTGCATTGGAAGCGCAACGGCGGCTTACTGTGAGCAGATGACGACCCTGTTTAAAATCTTTGATTCCTGATAGCCGATTGAGCATGCACTCCAGTCCACCACACTGTGCCATGACACCTGCCATCTTGTACACCTCTTCATCATCTTCCTCCTCATCTAGACAAAGAGGAAGGAGAGACTTTTTTTAAAACTTGGTTGTGAAATGAACATCCATAGACTAGTTAATGGTTCAAGCGTGAATAAAAGGATTTGATGAAGACAAGCAAGGAAGACTGGCAGACTATAATAGACAAGTAATAGAACCTGTGGTCGAGTCCAGCGACTCTATGAACTCCTCCGTTGCATCGCCCAGCAGACCTCTCATTCGATAAATGATTCTCATTGGCTCACCCTTGTAAAAAGGAAGGGCAAAGTGACATTGATGACCATCTAAACTATTTCACATATACAATATAAAGGCTGAGTCATTCACCTCATTTGTGGGGCACCACACCTTCTTGTAGACTTCAGCGACAGACAGATCCAAGCTAATGATTTTGTTGTTCACCAGAAGCTGAGGAAAAACAAAAAGACATACAATGTGTTTCTTGCAATGACTTAGCTTGATGACAAGAAGAGGTGAGGAGTAAGAGAAGGACATATTGAAATGACAATCAAGGTTCAGATTCATTTTACCTCCATGCCACTATCATCTTCAAGGAGTGCCACCAGGTCGCAGTCTTGGCAGATCTTGTTCTTAATGTCCCTCATAAGGGGGCCGATGCCTGGCTCGTTGCTACTGTAAGGGTTTCCAGGCATGCGACCTTGAAGGAAATCCTCTTGCTGGGGATCTTTTTCCAGGGTTACAAAGAACTCTGTCACCTCGTTTTCCTCCTTTAAAAGAAGAAAAGTGACATAAGTAATTAGTCTGTTAAATCATATATCTAAGTGAAAAAAAATCTGGGTTAGAGTTAACTTACAGGATAAATGATGCTACACAGTCTCTCAAAAATGAACACAGGTGTTCTGTAGTCATCCAAATTGTATCTCTTCGCAGTCTCAATGCACACTGCCATGAAAGCCTTCGTTTCAGACTCGGTGCCTACAAACAGAACAAGATAGCGTGAAGAACAGAAGTTACAACAGCCATTGCTAGACTCCGTGCACGCTTTAAACGCAATAGTTAAGATTTCACTTCAGCTGACCCGTGGTCATGTCCTCCAGCATCTCCAGCAGCATATCCTGAGTCTCATCGATGAGTTTGGTGCGCTGCACCACCAGCTTTCTCAGACACAGATAGCCGTTCAGCACTGTGCCAACCAGACGGCTCTTAAAATGCCGCTTAATGGACTCCACCTCCACAAATGATGATAGTAATCCTGCCATGACAACACAATTTTATTAGATAATTAAAGAACAATTCAAATCTATGATAGCGTTTGTTTCAAGACTGCATACCAGTAAAGCTCTTGAGGGCATAGCCCTGCTGTAAATCTGTGCTCAGCGTCGCCTCCTCCAGGGCCAGCAGGTTGGCGATTTCCTGTGGGAGGCAATTGCACATAAAACCTTGAAATAATTGCACAACACACGCTTTTACTGGCACAGATGACTGTAAACATATTTCACAGCGGGCTAGCAAACAGCGGTTGAAGCTGTGCAGCGGCTGAATCACTTTGTTGAGCTCAAACAAATGCACTGCATGTGGTTGATTTGAGAGAACATTTCTAAATCAAGCTTGACCTTGGTGATGAGATTGCCAATGTAGGGCAGGACTCCTCGTGCAGCCAAGTAAACCTTCCAATGTGTTGGTTTGATGAGCTTTTGGTAGAGACCAAGGTACTCTGCTGCACACTCTCCAGCCAAACTCAGCTCATCCAGGTAACTGACCGACACAAAACAAACAAACAAAAACAGTCACACCACACAAGACTTTCCTGCTGGCTATTTAAGACTCACGATTGTGAGAGTACAGTTACCATTACATAGTCATTTTACATATGCTGACCGTAATTTAACAGCATGTACCACCTTAATTGTTCAATGGGTTTTACCTTGTGAGCAGGCCCAAGACTTGTTGTTTGCGGCTGGGGATTGTCGTGAGAGCCTCCACAATTGTGCAAGCTGCCTGTCTGGCGGCCTGAGTGGCAGGGGTGAAAAGGACCTGCAGCAAGCAAAACACATATGTCAACTGATTTCTAGTATGAGTGGATTTCTGAATCTCGCAGAACACAATTTGCACATTTTTATCTACCTGCCGCAGCCAATTGTTGTGGCTCAGCCTGAGCAGGCGAGGGAAAAGGATTTCTCCTCTTCTGGACCTCATATACTGCTTCCATTTCCACACATACTTCTCCATCAGATACTGTTTTCGCAGTTCACCTTTCCCCTGCGGTTTTGTTACCATCTCATGGCCTTTTGGGCCCACAAATTGGCAAGAGCATTGGAGAGAAAAATGAGTACTCAGCTACATTGACATGTTTGCTATTTCTCTGGACAACACTTACATCTTGCAGGGAGGCATTTTTTCCAGGCCTCATATGAAGCTTTGGGATCCTTCTTGAGCCACATTTGGGCCTGAGCATGGATTTCATTACTGTAGGGCCTAACGGTGGTCAGGGATTCGGTAGCAGCATCCTTTAAAAGATGCATAGTTAGATGTAATGGGTTGTGGCCCAAGTTGGCATACTTTGAAATTAGATTTTTTCTTCAAACATTGTGCAATTCACCGTAATGATACATCTTGCAAAGCGGTCATTTTCTATATTGTTCCACATCAATTATCTCCCATTAACCTAATAAGCACATTTTAATTGACCCTAAGGCAAATGCAAAGCCCCAATATGATTACTCAATATTCACCTTGTTCTTCTTGCTAGTGGGGGCAGGGGGTTTGATCAGCTTCTGCAGGATTTTCAAGCACATGAGAGTGATGTTCTCCACCACAACGGGAGTCTTGATGTTAACCGACATGAGGAACAGACTAAGAGCTGAAAAAAAAGGTTGACAGTATAGATTAGAAAAGACGAATAACTGACTGCAAGTGACGTAAAAATGTATGAACTGAAATGTATTCGTTCATGCTTCAAAGTAACTCAGCCACTTACCACAGCGCAGCCGTAACTCCCAGCATCCTCCCTCTTTTGAAATGGAATCAGTTAAGAGCAGCATTTCATACTGAAGATTACTAACCTGTTGTAAAAAAAAAAAAA